CCAACCACATAGCTAGCCCTCCACAGCACATAGGAAGACGGGATAAAAGTACTACACAAACTTTGACCTCAGTGATAAAGAAATAAACCTTCCTCTTTAAAACAAGCCATCTGCCCATATGGAAGAGAAATATATTTTCAATATATTTAAAAAAAAAAATCATACATATATTTACAATATTTTGGCCTACACGACAACATATTTTAACATGTATTCCAAAAATGTAAATTAAAATATATTTTCCAAAGGCATATATGTAAAAATATATTTTTTAAAATATATTTTCCAGATATTTTTGAACATCTAAAAAAAAAAAATGCATTTAAACGTAGATTTTTAAATATACTTGTAAATGCATTCCAAATGACACTTTGATATATATTGCAGCGTGTGCTCTGAATATATTTTTAATAATATATTCACAAATATATTGAAATATATTTTTGAAATATAACGAATACGGCCAAAATTGTAGTCTTTGAAATATATGTCGATATATTTGGGAAGAATATATTAAGAATGTATTTTTAAAATATATTTAAAATATATTTATCTTCCATGTGGGTGACCTCTGTAGCTGCGGATACTGTGGAGCAATTCATCATCAAAGCTCACAAGAGAAATTGTTCGAGTTGGGTCTCGGCGGTTCTGGAAACTATGCACATCACATATCTGGCCCCTCCCACCAGCCACAATCTGCCTTCATTTGTCCATATTCAATATTACTTCAATATATATATATATATAAATAATGCATGTTGGAATGCATTTTTATTACAAAATATTTGAAAAATATTTTTTTAAAAATATTTTTTTTTTAAATATATTCTTCAGATTTTTTTTAACATATAAAAAAGTCTTTTTAACATATATTTTTACATATATTTGTAAATGCACTTGGAAAAATATATTTGAAATATTCTTCTCAAATATATTGACATATATTTGAAATGCTACAATTTTGTCCATATTCAATATATTTCAATATATATATATATATATATATATATATATTTATATTACACTGCATGTTGGAATGCTTTTTTATTACAAAATATTTCAAAAATATTTTTTTAAATATATATTTTGTTAACTATATTCTTCAGATTTTTTTTACATATAAAAAAGTAATTTTAACATATATTTTACATATATTTGTAAATTCATTTGTAAAAATATTTTTTTAAATATTCTTCTCAAATATCTTGACATATATTTGAAACGCTACAATTTCAGCCATACTTAATATATTTAAAAATTTATATATATATAAATATATATATATATATATATATATATATATATATATATATATATATATATACTGCATTTTGAAATGTGTTTTTATTACAAAATATATGAAAAATATTTTTAAAAATAATTTTTTTTTTTTAATATAAAAAAGTCATTTTAACATCTATTTTTACTTATATTTGTAAATGCATTTGTTAAAATATATTTGAAATATTCTCAAATATATTGACATATTTGAAATGCTACAATTTCGGCCATACTTAGTATAAAAAAAATTATATATATATATATTCATTCAGTGGTATCCAACCCTTGGTGATTGCACGGACCGTCACTTGTAAGTGACATTTTCCATGAATTCTCTTAGCAATTATTTTACAGGGTAGGTTGCCAGGTCTTTCCCCAACCCCCACTATGCAGGAGATCCCACATGGCCAGGGATGAAACTAGGACAATTTAGACAGGAGCCATTTAACCTACCAGCATGTCTCTGGAGTGTGGGAGGAAGCCGGAGCACCTGGAGGAAACCCACGCAAGCACAGGGAGAACATGCAAACTTCATGCAGGAGGTGCCATAGTGGGGAATTGAACCCATGACCCATTTACTGCAAGGCAGAAGTGCTAAGCACTAAGCCACTGTGGCACCACGCCCCACACACCCCCCCCACCCCCCCAAAATATATGAAAAATATTTTTAAAAATACATTTTTTTTTTATTTTACCATCTATTTTTACAAATATATTGAAATAAATTTTTGAAATATACTGAATACGGCCAAAATTGTAGCATTTGAAATATGTCAATATATTTGGGAAGAATTATTTAAAATATATTTAAAATATATTTTTTCTTCCATGTGGGAAATGCGCCCTTAAGTTGAACCTGCGCTGAAAGGAACTGAACTGTTGTCACCCATCGTTCTTGGCTGTTGTCTGGCCATCGTGCCAAGCGGCTAACTGCGTTCACACGCGAACGTCCATCCATGACCGCAGCTATCTGCTCAGATTGTGGCTACACATGACAAGCTGTTAATCACGTGCCCCGGTCATTGAAGCAGCAAGAATCCACGGATTCTGGGTGCTGCAGTCCGGTGGCCGCACGTAACTGACCACGTGAATGGGTCCTACACAACAGGAGAGTACATATCAGAACAAATATTGGTTGGAATTTTCCTTGAACCCATTCAAGTCTTCTTCCTCTTACTGAACCCTGATGAAGAGCTTCGAGCGTTGGGTTTTATCTTCTGATTTTAATTTTTTTTTTTGTAATCAAGATCAGTAAAGTTTTCTGGACTCATTTGCAAACTTAAGATGCTCTCATCCTTTACATTTGACGTTTGGACAAGTCCAGGGCCCTTGAGGACACCTCGTATGATAGCAAGCTCCCTCCTGTAGTCGGAGATCAAACTTTGGAGATCAAGCCTTGGGTCCACCAACAATGGTAAATATGTAGGACGTGGTAGTCACGTGATATGGTACAGGACAGCTTCTCTCATGATTCCTCCATGTACTCTTCACCCAGGTCTCTTCCCCCCAAGGGGCTTACATTCCATTGTCCCACCACCTGGGGGGGGGGGGGGGGGACCAGTTGGAGTGAAAGCAAGCCAAAGTGAACCTATTCATGAAGCCCCATCTACGATCAATAAAATCCATCCTTGCTGTTCAGTGCTTTGCCCAACCTTGTAGCCATCCTTCCACAGCATGGGACGTGGACTTTGTCCACCGTGGGACAGGACATTGAAGAACATCGACGTGAAAGTTCTAAAAAAGATATATCTCTGAAGCTAGGTCCACTTTGACCCACCAGTATGTTTAAGGCCTGTAGCAGGAAATTCTTCCCATTCAGACCCAGGAAGGAGATACAAACCCCATGAAGACAATGCTCTTGGCTGGAAATGGAGAAATCCATAAGGGTGTTGCCCGTTTTTTTTGCATTATTCAGCATTCTGGCTGAACAACACATGAAGATCAGGTGGGGAGAGAGCCGTAGCAGAAGACATGACCAAGAAAAGAGCAAAAATAAACTCTGTCCTGCTCATGAAATACCCACCAGTATTAAATTTTCGAAAAAAATCCAAAAGAGAAAAAGCTGGTGGCACTCTGATAAATTCAACACAGTTGTAACTTTATTGATGATGACAAGCAGAAATCCTCAGTGAAGTCCTCACTTGGGACCTTCCCCAAGATTGGGCTTATTCATATGTAGGCTGGTGCAGTCTACTTTCTCCGCAGTGGCAGTTGGAGAAGAAGTCAGGAGGAACTTACTGTAGTTCATCTATGGTTTCCTGGGTCACTGGGGAAGCATCCAATTGGATGCTGATGACCCATGGGACTCTGAGAGCCCTCTTGGGTCAGGCAGAGCCTGTTTAAGTCCCCGGCTCCCAGATATGGCATGGTGGAGTTGGTGGAGAAGGGACAGCTACCCTGACTGGTAGGGATAGTATTAGTGGAAGGGAAGGTTTTCTGATGAGAAGGGAAAGCGTGGGGCTTGCACCTTCTGTGGTCACCTTCTCTGGTCACCTTTTCTGGTCACCTTCTCCGGTTGGGCACAAGCCACATTCTTCCCCTCTCCCAGTTGGGTTGCCTACCCTTCAGGCAATGGTGTATTTAGGTTTCGTGCTGCCCTAGGCAACACAAAAATCGTCTCCCTCCCCCCATACGGAGAGAGACCCTGATACTGACCAACACCCCTCTCCCCCCACAAAGAGAGCCTGACATTGACCAACAACACCCCAGCCCCCCCACCCAAGAGAGACTTCCACTTCCACCGCATCCCATACACTGACCACCCCCCCCCCCCCATGGAGAGACCCTGACACCGACCAACACCCCCCTCCCCCACAAAGAGAGCCTGATATCGATCAACAACACCCCACCCAAGAGAGCCTTCCACTACCACCGCCCCCCATACACTTTCCACCCCCCACCATGGAGAGACCCTGACACTGACCAACACCCCCCCTCCCCCACAAAGAGAGCCTGACATTGCCCAACAACACCCCATCCCCCCCCACTCAAGAGAGCCTTCCACTACCACCGCTCCCCAGCTACTGGCGAGAGAGAGAAGACCCTCACCTTCACAACTCCAGCCATCCCCGGGAACAGGAGTTGGGCTCTACATACACCATCAAGCAGCCCGCAACCTTTCTTGGATCCCACCTGGTCCCCATGCTGCATGTGTCCCTTCTTCCATCCCTTCCGGGGGGCAGCGAAAAATGCCGCCCTAGGTAAATGCCTTGTGGTCAATACGCCCCTGCCATCGGGTTATTTGTGAACCGTTTCTGCATGACTTCAGTACTGGTTCTCTCGTTGCACTGGGACTCTGCACCCCACCTAAATGTAGGTTTGTGTGAAATGCCTCAGCGCAGGGGGTCCCAGGTAGGGACTTTGTGTCCACTTGCCTGAAACAATAAAGTTACACCTGGGTTGAATTTCAACTGAGTTCCGCTGGTTCTTTCTCTCTTTTTTTCGACATCTACTGGCGGTTGGGTTGTCCCTTGGATGGTTTCTAGAACCCGATAGCCAAGATAGTGACCTGGTATATTGGGCTGGTCGGCAGTGAACACGTTTCTCCGTCGGATCCTCCTGGTTGGGCAGAATTCATCTTCTATACAAGTGCAAAACATAAACTTAATGCAGCGTACAAACTTACTATAAATATGAAATACTGAAACAAACATAACATGAGTAGTAGGCCTCGCAGTGGTTTCCCCTCGACACCCAATCTCCGAGCCGGCACGCGGGATTCACATGTATGGCTTGTCCTGTTTGAAGGACATGTTCTCCATGTCGTGGCAGTTCTTCCCGTTTGTGTGCTCGCTGTTATAGTCATGGGTAAAGGTGGTGCCCTGCGCCTCGCTGATGGAGGATATGGTGTAGGATGCCGATCGGAGACCCTCAGAATGGGCAAAGCTATTTCCGAACTGGATCCTGTACTGGTTCCAATGTCTTTTCAGAACACCTTGAACCTGAAAACCAAAAGCAGACATACCGCGTGTAAGAAAACCCAATGCTTCCTCGTGTTGGTACATGGTCTGCTAAAGCTTAGGAGAACATTTTGGTTTTAACCCCTCGCCTACTGGGCACTTCTACCCCCTTCCTGCCTACCGGGCACTTCTACCCCCTTCCTGCCTACCGGGCACTTCTACCCGCTTCTGGCCTACTGGGCACTTCTACCCCCTTCCTGCCTACAGGGCACTTCTACCCCCTTCCTGCCTACCGGACACTTCTACCCCCTTCCTGCCTACCGGGCACTTCTACCCGCTTCCTGCCTACCGGGCACTTCTACCCCCTTCCTACCTACCGGGCACTTCTACCCCCTTCCTGCCTACAGGACACTTCTACCCCCTTCCTGCCTACAGGGCACTTCTACCCCCTTCCTGCCTACAGGGCACTTCTACCCCCTTCCTGCCTACCGGGCACTTCTACCCCCTTCCTGCCTACAGGGCACTTCTACCCCCTTCCTGCCTACCGGGCACTTCTACCCCCTTCCTGCCTACAGGGCACTTCTACCCCCTTCCTGCCTACAGGACACTTCTACCCCCTTCCTGCCTACAGGGCACTTCTACCCCCTTCCTGCCTACAGGGCACTTCTACCCCCTTCCTGCCTACCGGGCACTTCTACCCCCTTCCTGCCTACCGGGCACTTCTACCCCCTTCCTGCCTACAGGACACTTCTACCCCCTTCTTGCCCACCAGACACTTTCACCCCCCTTCCTGTTCAGGCCAATTTTCAGCTTTCAGCGCTGTCACACTTTGAATGATAATTGCGCGGTCATGCAACACTGTACCCATATGAAATTTTTAGAATTATTTTCACACAAATAGAGCTTTCTTTTGGTGGTATTTACTCCCCGCTGGGGGTTTTATTTTTTTGCGCTATAAACAAAAAAAAAAAAAATGGAAAACAAAAATTTGAAAAGTACACACAGCATTTGGGCCGGGGAGTCCTAAATGGACATGTAGTTTTAAAATGACTTTAAAGTGTTACTAAACCCCCAACAGTACAATCAGTCTGCAGATGCAGCAAAGCATGCTTGTTATAGCTCACTATGGAACCTAAGGGGTTATTCCTGTGCATTGTGTAAAAAGGCTGTTTGATCCTGTCTTCTCTGATCATTCACCTTCTTCCAGTACCCTCCCCCCTTCTTATCTCCTAATAAGTCATATCGTGTGGAGTCACTATGCACATGCTCAGTTTGGTGTGTATTGCCAGGGAGTTTTTTTTTTTCATGGGAGAGTGCATGTGATCAGCACAGGGCCAATCAACACTGTCCAGACAGAGGTCAGGGGTTCTGCATCCTCCTAGAGCAAAATGAAAAGTTGTAACCAGTGCTCTGCTGATGAGGAAAGGGATTGAGCAGTTTAGTTTATTAAAATAATTGCTTTTCAATGTTGTGTCTGTGGGAGACCAGATATAGTGAATGCGGGGTCCGGGGAGAGCGGAGATAGTGAATGCGGGGTCCGGGGAGAGCAGATATAGTGAATGCGGGGTCCGGGGAGATCAGATATAGTGAATGCGGGGTCCGGGGAGGGCGAATATAGTGAATGCGGGGTCCGGGGAGAGCGGATATAGTGAATGCGGGGTCCGGGGAGCGGATATAGTGAATGCGGGGTCTGGGGAGAGTGGATATAGTGAATGCGGGGTCCGAGGGAGAGCGGATATAGTGAATGTGGGGTCCGGGGAGAGCGGATATAGTGAATGCGGGGTCCGGGGAGAGCGGATATAGTGAATGCGGGGTCCGGGGAGAGCAGATATAGTGAATGCAGGGTCCGGGGAGAGCAGATATAGTGAATGCGGGGTCCGGGGAGAGCAGATATAGTGAATGCGGGGTCCGGGGAGAGCGGCTATAGTGAGTGCGGGGTCCGGGGAGAGCGGATATAGTGAATGCGGGGTCCGGGGAGAGCGGATATAGTGAATGCGGGGTCCGGGGAGAGCGGATATAGTGAATGCGGGGTCCGAGGTGAGCGGATATAGTGAATGCGGGGTCCGGGGAGAGCGGATATAGTGAATGCGGGGTCCGGGGAGAGCGGATATAGTGAATGCGGGGTCCGGGGAGAGCGGATATAGTGAATGCGGGGTCCGGGGAGAGCGGATATAGTGAATGAGGGGCCGGGGAGAGCGGATATAGTGAATGCGGGGTTCCGTCCGGGGAGAGCGGATATATAGTGAAAGCGGGGTCCGGGGAGAGCGGATATAGTGAATGTGGGGTCCGGGGAGAGCGGATATAGTGAATGCGGGGTCCGGGGAGCGGATATAGTGAATGCGGGGTCTGGGGAGAGCGGATATAGTGAATGCGGGTTCCGTCCGGGGAGAGCGGATATAGTGAAAGCGGGGTCCGGGGAGAGCGGATATAGTAATGTGGGGTCCGGGGAGAGCGGATATAGTGAATGCGGGGTCCGAGGAGAGCGGATATAGGGAATGCGGGGTCCGGGAGAGCGGATATAGGGAATGCGGGGTCCGGGGAGAGCGTGAATGAAGGGTCCGGGGAGAGCGGATATAGTGAATGCGGGGTCTAGGGAGCGGATATAGTGAATGAAGGGTCCGGGGAGAGCGGATATAGTGAATGCGGGGTCTAGGGAGAGCGGATATAGTGAATGCGGGTCCGAGGAGAGCGGATATAGGGGAATGCGGGGTCCGGGGAGAGCGGATATAGTGAATGCGGGGGTCCGGGGAGAGCGGATATAGTGAATGCGGGGTCCGGGGAGTGGATATAGTGAATGAAGGGTCCGGGGAGAGCGGATATAGTGAATGCGGGGTCTAGGGAGAGCGGATATAGTGAATGAAGGGTCCGGGGAGAGCGGATATAGTGAATGCGGGGTCCGGGGAGAGCGGATATAGTGAATGCGGGGTTCGGGGAGAGCGGATATAGTGAATGCGGGGTCCGGGAGAGCGGATATAGTGAATGCGGGGTCTAGGGAGAGCGGATATAGTGAATGCGCGGGTCCGGGGAGAGCAGATATAGTGAATGCGGGGTCCGGGGAGAGCGGATATAGTGAATGCGGGGTCCGGGGAGAGCGGATATAGTGAATGCGGGGTCCGGGGGAGAGCGGATATAGTGAATGAAGGGTCCGGGGAGAGCGGATATAGTGAATGCTGGGTCCGGGGAGAGCGGATATAGTGAATGAAGGGTCCGGGGAGAGTGGATATAGTGAATGCGGGGTCCGGGGAGAGCGGATATAGTGAATGCGGGGTCTAGGGAGAGCGGATATAGTGAATGAAGGGTCCGGGGAGAGCGTATATAGTGAATGTGTGGTCCGGGGAGAGCGGATATAGGGAATGCGGGGTCCGGGGAGAGCGGATATAGTGAATGCGGGGTCCGGGGAGAGCGGATATAGTGAATGCGGGGTCCGGGGAGAGCGGATATAGTGAATGCGGGGTCCGGGGGAGAGCGGATATAGTGAATGCGGGGTCTAGGGAGAGCGGATATAGTGAATGCGGGGTCTAGGGAGAGCGGATATAGTGAATGCGGGGTCTAGGGAGAGCGGATATAGTGAATGAAGGGTCCTGGGTTTAGTAACACTTTAAGTGACGAATGTGTGGTGATCACATGACTGGGCACCACATCTATAGGTTCTTTAGTTCAGACCCGGAGCGGTCAGTAACAATAGGGTCTAACAGCAAGGAGTGTGCAAAGGTGTGTGCTCCTAGTTCTAAGAGGCGACGTGAAGTCATTGCTGCCAGATGGGCTGACCAAGCTTCTCTACTGTAAAAGCACCAAATTCCTATTCCTCTGGATCACCTGGGTGGAGGATTATCATTTTTTTATGTTATGGTTGAACTGGATGGACTTTTGTAGTTTTTTTCAGCCAGACTAACTATGTAACAATGTAACTGAGTATTTCATTGTATATTTAAAAATACAGCAAATTCCAGGTTTGTATATAAAAAATACACTTACCTCTCCATTGAAGAAACAAAATATAGTGGCCACCAGCAACCCCTAGAGAAAAGAATGATTTCTATCAATGCATACATTTACAGACATGAACGATTATTAGCAATAAATCAGTAAATATGGACAACCTCCATGCAGTTCAGTCAATGAAGAGCACGATTGGCCCCTTTAAGCTGCCCAGCAGAATGTTGTTTCCACTGCAGATTGTTCCTTCCCTCCTTGTCCTGTAATAGACCACTGCAGGGTGAAGGGAGGCAGAAAGGAGGAACGTGATTGGAGGGTTGATCCTACCCACTACTTTTTGGAGCTCTGGAGAAGTGAATAAGATCTATAACCTGTGCAGGTGGACTGCATGTGCCTGGAGCTAAGAAGTGAAGGGTTCAGGGACTGCCATGGCTGACAAGATAGAATTTGTTTTTTAGGTAGAAGCCTGGGATGAGTCAGCTTGGGAGTGAGGTAGTAGGTTCACCTCAGGACAGGCTGGGAGACTCTACAGGTCAGGGCTTCTGGAGCCCTTCCACCCTTCCAGAAACCTCTGACACTTTCTAGAGGAGGGGTAGAGGTCCAGACTTGCATGTTTACGGGAACTTGGCCAATCCCCAGGCAGGAGGCTGGACAAGGTGGCCAAGAGCAACCCTTGAATAGGACGGAGTCTGTGCTGCAGGGGAGTCGGGTGGAAGATGGACTGAAGGATGGAAGCTGGAGAGTGGGAGCCTGGGAGGAAGCCCCAGGTAGAGGAGCCAATCTACAGGCTGGTTGCTGGACAGAAGGATCTCCACTGTGCCAAGTCTCCTGGGGAGGACATCCTGTCAGCCGGGAAGGAGCCAGCCCAGCGAAAGCAGCTTCAACCCCACCAAGCCGACAAGACAGGACAGTGTGAATACTTCTACACCCTCTGGGCCAGCAAAAAGGAAAGGGCGGTCATGTGCAAGACCCAACTAGTCCTCATCCTGGACTACTCACTTGGCAGATCTTGGAATCCCTTTCCTAGGGATACCCTCAGTGCAGCCGAGTGAAGAGGAAGGATTCATTTGGGGTCTAAGGAGGTACATCAAGGGGACTTCAGTGCTCCTTAAAGAGACGGCTATTTTTTTTCTGATCCACATTTTTGTACAATGTTCAGTTTGCTAAGATGTTTTACCTCCGTTTTGCAGTTCCTTGGGCATCCCATATACCCCTAGACCCCATCCAAGTTATTAACCCCTTAATAAAAGCAACAAAACCAAGCTCAAGGACTGTTTTACTGACTGTGTGTGAAAATGTGGAAAATGTGTGTTCCATGGCCATGAAGAGTTTAGGGGGACCTAATCAAACTTAGCGGCCCTTAAGAGGGTGAGTCCTACACAAGGAATGTGCTGCTTAGAACGTCATGGTTGTGCATATTTTGCCAGGGGTCAAAGGCTTGGGGCTGCTGCTGAGGATCTGCTAGGGATGAGTTTACTGCTGATGAAATGGTGTAGCTGTTGTGCTGCGTGTGCGGGTGGGTGTGCAAAAGAACCCCAAGACCACACGTTGCTGTTCCTGTGCTACTGCTGTAGTGTGTTGCCGTCTGCTGTGCCCAACAGAGACAATGTGGACAATGTGAGCTGCAACATCGCGATACTGCTACGGCTGTGCTGCTACTGTCTGCTGATGGTGAAGGCTAGAGTGGAGGCCCAAAACCTGGTGGGCTACCTATCGCCTGACCTCACTCCGAAGCTGAGGCAATCAGATGGGCTACTGTTCCAGAGGATGCGTCAGGACCTTCATAGGCGGTGAGAGCAACTTGAAGAGCTTACAAAGGGACTCTGCCAGGAGAAGATTGTGCCTTTTTTATTACAGATACTCCCAGTTGGGTATGAGGGCTCCTACATGTAATCCAAGGGGTAATCCGAAGGCCCCAATGCCGGCAAGACTTAGATTATATTCCACAGGCTAGTGGCATAGACCGCTTGATCATAGATAGATCTTACAGTGGCCACCTTACCTCACATCAGCAGCCTGGTCAGGAACCCCCCCAGCCTCTTTATTGGGCAATGAAGGGACAGCAGCAGACAATGTGGACAATGTGAGCTGCAGCATCGTGATACTGCTACGGCTGTGCTGCTACTGTCTGCTGATGGTCGACTGGTGGGCTACCTTTCGCTGACCTCACTCCGAAGCTGAGGCAATCAGATGGGCCTGTTCCAAAAGGACCTTCGGTGGGCTACCTTGAAGAGCCTACAAAGGGGCTCTGCCAGGAGAAGATTGTGCCTCATACTCCGAAGGGTGTGAGGGCTCCTAATCAGAAGGGCCCCAGTGCCAGCAAGACTTAGATTATATTCCACAGGCTAGTGGCATAGACCTGATCATAGATAGATTTTACAGTGGCCACCTACCTCACATCAGCAGGTCAGGAACCCCCCCAGCCTCTTTACTGGGCAATGAAGGGACAGCAGCAGACAATTGGACAATGTGAGCTGCAGCATACACGGCTGTGGCTACTCTGCTGAGGTCGAGGCCCAAGATTGGTGGGCTACCTTTTTTCACTCCGAAGCTGAGGCAATCAGATGGGCTACTGTTCCAGAGGATGCGTCAGGACCTTCGTAGGTGGTGAGAGCACCTTGAAGAGCCTACAAAGGGCTCTGCCAGGAGAAGATTGTGCCTTTTTTATTACAGATACTCCCAGCTGGGTGTAAGGGCTCCTACAAAACATCCAAGGGCCCCAATGCCGGCAAGACTTAGATTATATTCCACAGGCCAGTGGCATAGATAGAGCCTCTTGATCATAGATAGATCTTACAGTGGCCACCTGACCTCACATCAGAAGCCTGGTCAGGAACACCCCTCCCCCGGCCTCTTTACTGAAGGGACAGCAGAAGACTGATGAGGTCATACCGCTGCTCACTCACCCTGATGTTCTGTGAGCACATGTGCACTGTGGCAGAATCTGATTGGCTGCTGGTGCTGCCCTACCCTCTCCCAGAAGGTGCTTCTGTACAGGGGATTAAGAGTTCAATTGCAAGACAGGTCCATGTACTTACCTTGGATGCCTAATGATATTCAACTGGAGACATTACTTTTTCATTTTTTATATATCAGCATTATTTCACAAAATGGTTTGCATTGCATTTAAACTCAATCAAGCGCAACCGGAGTGACCTTTTAATGCTAGGCCGGCCCCAAAATACGACATTTATTCTAAAGCGGGAGCATTTTCATCAGCTGTACCTGGTAATTCATGAGAATATGCATGACATAGTCATATATTTCCTCCGCTATGTGTCCTTCCGGTCTCCATGGCAACAATACAAACTGGATTCCAAGAAGAGGCACGAGGATGAGGGTGGCTCGCACTGCTTTCATGTACAGGTTGGATTCTGCCTGATGCGTCACTTTCAGTTTTGTGATTAACACGCGCACAATGTTCAGCAGAAAGAACAGGTTCACCTTAGATGAAACACAAGAAAAACACAAAAACTTGATTACTAACAATGTATAGATTTGCCATCTGCCTGCTACAGCTGTCCTGACTAGCAGGGAGATCAGATTACATGGACTGCAAGAGGGACTCACAGAGGTGGGACTCTGTGATGGTTACTCCATCTCTCCTAGGCTTGGTCAGTGAAGAACAGGCTGCCCATGATCATGCAAAGTGCTTTTCTGACCACATGTCCTGTATGTTTAACAAACCTCAAGCAGTGTGAGGTCCTCCATGGTGGGATACAAATATATGGGTTGGTCCTCATGCTACACAGTTGCTAGAATATCTAAGTGAGATGGTGCAACAGGCTGTAACAGGTTTGGCCAGCTTGTCTGTGAAGGTTCTCATTCACCCAGGTCATGGTACATCTAGTAGTAGTTGGTCAGACACAGGACTTGTTTTCTAAAGTAGAAAACATTTTGCTGTTCATCCAGTGGGCTTCCTCAGTTCCTAGGTTTGGCCAGCTTTTCTATGAAGATTCTTTTTCAACCAGGTCATGGTACATCTAATAGTAGCTGGTCACATTCAGGACTAGTTTTCTGATGGTGAAGACATTTCATTGCTCATTAAATGGGCTTCCTCAGTTCCTAGGTTTGGCCAGCTTGTCTATGAATGTTCTCATTCAACCAGGTCATGGTATATTTAATAGTAGTTGGTCACATTTGGGACTTGTTCTCTAATGTTGAAGATGTTTCGCTGCTCATCCAAAGGGTTTCCTCTGTTCCTTGGTTTGGCTAGCTTGTCTGTGAAGGTTCTCTTTCAACCAGGTCATGGTACATCTAATAGTAGCTGTCAGGAATGGACTGGCCAGCAATAGTGGGACTCGCCTGCCTTATGAGCTGCAGTACCAGGGCTGGCCAGCGGGTGCTCCCAGCAATCAGAGACTCAACCTTGCAGCCAGTCAAACACCTGGAACTAATTATACTGGTGTATTTAAGGGACATTCAGACCTGCAGACTCTGCCTTGGTGTTGTGTTTCTCCTGGGCCCTGTTTCCTGTTCCTGTTCCTGTCTGATTCTCTGCTGACCCTGCTCTGATCCCTGGCTTGTCTGACCATTCTCCTCTGCCTGACCCTCTGTACCACGCTGCCCGCTACCTGCTGAACCTGGCTTGTGACCCCGACCATTCTCCGCTTGCTCCCCCTGTACCTACCTGCCCGATTGATATTGACCCGGCCTGCCTGACGACGCTTGCTTGTATGTACTGTTATCTGTGGGTGGTTGGTTGGGTTTGTTTGCACTGTATTATGTTTAGTATTGCACTGCGTTTATGTTTGTATTGTTAGTGTTAATAAATTATATTGTTTATAACATATCTGAAGTCTGCGTTTCCCTGCGTCAGTCACACACCTCTGGTCATACCCGGGAGCCCTGACATTACACCAAGGCCAAACCTGACCAGAAGTGGCTGCACAGGGAAGCCATCTTGGTTTGTTGATGGGAAGGATGGATCTGGATGAGGTTGTGTATTTATATCTGCTAGTGTTTGATGACAGGGAGTATGCTTATCAGACTCTGAAGGAGTATCCCCGGGATGAACTGCTAGAATGTATACGGCTCGCTCATGTTCTAGTAGATCAGGGCACAGAATTCTCTGAGGTGCAGCCATTGATTGAGGTTTGTGCTGAGTTGGTTTCATCTGGTTCCCCCGAATGCAGGGATGAATTTTTGCCGCCATTTAGTGCAGACCAGGTAGAGTCCCTGGTGTGGTTATTAGAGGATGATGTGGGTTACTTTCTGGAGCGTTATTCTGCATGTTCACCACAGACACTAAGAGATTGTATAAAACGCAGTGCAGTCATTGGTCAGACAGGCTTTGTGTAAGCTCAGCTTTGTTCAACCCATACTGCAGACATGGACAGACTTGTTGCACCCAGCCTCAGTCAGCTTACAAAGACCCAGTCCTGCTTCTAATCTATTTCCTCAAAGCTCTACTCCTGTATTCCCAACAGCACCTCCAGTTACAGCCCAGTATACTTGGCTATCTACCGCATGTCAGTCCCCTGTTCCCACTCGCTGCACCTATCCTGCCTTTAACCCTGTAAAAAAGTCCTCTGTAGCAACTGCTCCCTCTCCTGTTCCATCCTCCAGCTCTTCTCTGTCTCCAGCTGCTCCATTCGTTTGCAGACCTACGTTTACTTGCAGTGCTCCAGTAGTTAAAACCAGAAAAAAGCGAAAATTCTTTCCAACCAATACCATCCTGCCAGTATCCAAACCGGTGAGCCTGCCTTCCGTGGTTCAGCCTGAAGCCTCTACTCAGCCTGAATCCTCTACTCAGCCTGATGCCTCTACTCGGCCTGAAGCCTGTACTCATCCTGATGCCTTTACCCAGCATGATGAACTGATCCAGCCTGACGATCCTATTAGGCCTGATGACCCGTGCCCGCTGTCGTGCCTGGTGACTCGGTGCCCACTGCCTTGCCAGATGACGCAGTGCCCGCTGGCGAGCTAAATGACCTGATGCCTGGTGACCCGATGCCCGCTGTCGAGCCAGACGATCCAATGCCTGGTGACCCGGTGCCCACTGCCTTGCCAGATGACGCGGTGCCCGCTGGCAAGCCAAATGACCTGATGCCTGGTGACCCAGTGCCCGCTGTCATACCTGGTGACCCGATGCCCGCTGTCGAGCCAGACAATCCGGTACCTGATGACCCGGTGCCCGCTGTCGTGCCAATTGAGTCAGAGTCCACTGTCGTGCCTGGTGATTCGGTGCCCGCAGTCTTGCCAGACGACTCGGTGCCTGCTGTTCCGCCAGTTGACTCGATGCCCGCTGTTCCGCCAGACAACTCGGTGCCCGCAGTCTTGCCAGACGACTCGGTGCCCGCAGTCTTGCCAGACGACTCGGTGCCCACAGTCTTGCCAGACAACTCGGTGCCCGCTGTTCCGCCAGTTGACTCGATGCCCGCTGTTCCGCCAGACGACTCGATGCCCACTGTTCCGCCAGACGACTCGGTGCCCGCAGTCTTGCCAGACGACTCGGTGCCCGCAGTCTTGCCAGACGACTCGTGCCCGCAGTCTTGCCAGACGACTCGGTGCCCGTAGTCTTGCCAGACGACTCGAAGTCCGCTGTTCCGCCAGTGGACTCGGTGCCCGCAGTCTTGCCAGACGACTCGGTGCCCGCAGTCTTGCCAGACGACTCGGTGCCCGCAGTCTTGCCAGTTGACTCGGTGCCCGCAGTCTTGCCAGTTGACTCGGAGCCCACTGTCGTGCCTGGTGACTCGGTGCCCGCCGCTCCGCCTGGGGGCCCGAGACCTGTCGCTCCGCCTGGGGGTCCGGCACCCGCCGCTCCGCCTGGGGGCCCGATGCCTGTCGCCCCTCCTGGGGGCCCGATGCCTGTCGCCCCTCCTGGGGGCCCGGCGCCCGCCGCTCCGCTTGGGGGCCCGATGCCTGTCGCCCCGCCGGGGGGCCCGATGCCTGTCGCCCCGCCGGGGGCCCGATGCCTGTCGCCCCGCCGGGGGGCCCGATGCCTGTCGCCCCCCGCCGGGGGCCCGATGCCTGTCGCCCCGCCTGGGGGCCCGATGCCTGTCGCCCCGCCTGGGGGCCCGATGCCTGTCGCCCCTCCTGGGGGCCCGATGCCTGTCGCCCCTCCTGGGGGCCCGGCGCCCGCCGCTCCGCTTGGGGGCCCGAAGCCTGTCGCCCCGCCGGGGGGCCCGATGCCTGTCGCCCCGCCGGGGGGGCCCGATGCATGTCGCCCCCCGCCGGGGGGCCCGATGCCTGTCGCCCCGCCGGGGGGCCCGATGCCTGTCGCCCCGCCTGGGGGCCCGATGCCTGTCGCCCCCGCCTGGGGGCCCGATGCCTGTCGCCCCTCCTGGGGGCCCGGTGCCCGCCGCTCCGCTTGGGGGCCCGATGACTGTCGCCCCGCCTGGGGGCCCGATGACTGTCGCCCCGCCTGGGGGCCCGATGCCTGTCGCCCCTCCTGGGGGCCCGGCGCCCGCCGCTCCGATTGGGGGCCCGATGCCTGTCGCCCCGCCGGGGGGCCCGATGCCTGTCGCCCCGCCGGGGGGCCCGATGCCTGTCGCCCCGCCGGGGGGCCCGATGCCTGTCGCCCCGCCCGGGGGCCCGATGCCTGTCGCCCCCCGCCTGGGGGCCCGATGCCTGTCGCCCCCGCCTGGGGGCCCGATGCCTGTCGCCCCTCCTGGGGGCCCCGGTGCCCGCCGCTCCTCTTGGGGGCCCGATGACTGTCACCCCGCCTGGGGGCCTGATGACTGTCGCCCCGCCTGGGGGCCCGATGCCTGTCGCCCCTCCTGGGGGCCTGGCGCCTGCCGCTCCGCTTGGGGGCCCGATGCCTGTCGCCCCGCCGGGGGGGGCCCGGTGCCCGTCGCCCCACCTGGGGGCCCCGGTGCCTGCTGCTCCGCCTGGGGGCCCGGTGCCTGCTGCTCCGCCTGGGGGCCCGGTGCCTGCTGCTCCGCCCGGTGGCCCCGCTGCCTGCTGCTTCGCCTGGTAATCCGATGTGCCTCTGCCCGGAGTCCAGCCCGACGTGCCTCTGCCCGGAGTCCTGCCCGGTGTGCCAGTCTTTGATATCCCGCCAGTTACCAGACCCGGGCGGTGGAACATTTTGCCCAGCTAGGACTGTTTGGAGCGTCCTGAGGCGGCTCCTTGAGGGGGGGGTACTGTCAGGAATGGACTGGCCAGCAATAGTGGGACTCGCCTGCCTTATGAGCTGCAGTACCAGGGCTGGCCAGCGGGTGCTCCCAGCAATCAGAGACTCAACCTTGCAGCCAGTCAAACACCTGGAACTAATTATACTGGTGTATTTAAGGGACATTCAGACCTGCAGACTCTGCCTTGGTGTTGTGTGTTTCTCCTGGGCCCTGTTTCCTGTTCCTGGTCCTGTCTGATTCTCTGCTGACCCTGCTCTGATCCCTGGCTTGTCTGACCATTCTCCTGCTCCTGATCCCTGGCTTGTCTGACCATTCTCCTCTGCCTGACCCTCTGTACCACGCTGCCCGCTACCTGCTGAACCTGGCTTGTGACCCCGACCATTTCTCCGCTTGCTCCCCCCTGTACCTACCTGCCCGAGTGATATTGACCCGGCCTGCCTGACGACGCTTGCATTGTATGTACTGTTATCTGTGGGTGGTTTGGTTTGGTTTGTTTGCACTGTATTATGTTTTAGTATTTCACTGCGTTTATGTTTGTATTGTTAGTGTTAATAAATTACATCGTTTATAACATATCTGAAGTCTGCGTTTCCCTGCGTCAGTCACACACCTCTGGTCATACCCGGGAGCCCTGACAGTAGCTGGTCACATTCAGGACTAGTTTTTCTGATGGTGAAGACATTTCATTGCTCATTAAAATGGGCTTCCTCATTTCCTAGGTTTGGCCAGCTTGTCTATGAAAGGTTCTTATTCAAACAGGTCATGACACAACTAGTAGTAGTTGGTCACTTTCAACACTTGTTCTCTAAAGTTGAAGACGCTTGGCTGCTCATCAAAAGGGCTTCCTCTGTTCCTACGTTTGCTTAGCTTGTCCGTGAAGGTTCTCATTCACACAGGTCATGATATATCTAGTAGTAGTTGGTTAGACTCAGGATTGGTTCTCTAATGTTGAAGATGTTTTTCTGCTCATCCAATGGGCTTCCTCAGTTCCTAGGGTTTGGCCAGCTTGTCTGTGAAGGTTCCTGTTCATCCAAGTCACGGTATATCTAGCAGTAGTTGATCACACTCAGGACTTGTTCTCTAATTTTGAAGATGTTTCGCTGCTCATCCAAAGGGCTTCCTCAGTTCCTAGGTTTGGCCAGCTTGTCTATGAAGATTCTTTTTCAACCAGGTCATGGTACATCTAATAGCAGATGGTCACATTTTAGGACTAGTTTTCTGATGGTGAAGACATTTCATTGCTCATTAAATGGGCTTCCCCAGTTCCTAGGTTTGGCCAGCTTGTCTATGAAGGTTCTCATTCAACCAGGTCATGGTATATTTAATAGTAGTTGGTCACATTTAGGACTTGTTCTCTAATGTTGAAGATGTTTCGCTGCTCATCCAAAGGGTTTCCTCTGTTCCTTGGTTTGGCTAGCTTGTCTCTGAAGGTTCTCTTTTAACCAGGTCATGGTACATCTAATAGTAGCTGGTCACATTCAGGACTAGTTTTCTGATGGTGAAGACATTTCATTTCTCATTAAATGGGCTTCCTCATTTCCTAGTTTTGGCCAGCTTGTCTATGAAGGTTCTCATTCAAACAGGTCATGGCACATCTAGTAGCAGTTGGTCACATTCAACACTTGTTCTCTAAAGTTGAAGACGCTTGGCTGCTCATCCAAAGGGCTTCCTCTGTTTCTAGGTTTGCTCAGCTTGTCCGTGAAGGTTCTCATTCACACAGGTCATGATATATCTTGTAGTAGTTGGTTACACTCAGGATTGGTTCTCTAATGTTGAAGACATTTTTCTGCTCATCCAGTGGGCTTCCTCAGTTCCTAGGTTTGGCCAGCTTGTCTGTGAAGGTTCCTGTTCATCCAAGTCACGGTATATCTAGTAGTAGTTTGATTCACACTCAGGACTTGTTTTTCTAATGTTGAAGATGTTTTTGCTGCTCATCCAATGGACCTCCTCAGTTCCTAGGATTGGCCAGCTTGTCTATGAAGGTTCTCGTTCAACCAGGTCATGATATATCTAATATTAGTTGGCCACACTCAGGACTTGCTCTCTAATGTTGAAGACATTGCGCTGCTCATCCCAGTAGGCTTCCTCAGTTCTCAGGTTTGGCCAGCTTGTCTGTGAAGGTTTCTGTTCATCCAGGTCAAGGTGCATCTAGTAGTAGTTGGTCACACTCAGGACTTGTTCTCTAATGTTGCTCATCCAGTTGGCTTCCTACTATGGAATGTGTGAAGGCAGATGTTGATTGTTCAAGAACATACCTGGAGGTGTGGAAGTTTGTGATGATATATTTTTATCCCATGGTGCCATGAAGTCTGGGACAGGTTTTTGAATTTGTGTCTAACCCTGAGGGGTAGGGATGCTGAATCACCCTTACCAATGTGGGTACCCGATGCTGCCATCTTGGTTACAGTACTGATTAAAAATCAGTACTCGCCCTCCTTCCCCCACAAAAAACCCCTGTAACTCAGTTACACGTTGGGGGAGGGAGAAAACCAGTGGGACTTCACTTTTTGAGTTATGTTCCGCTTTAATTTGCTCTATCAGCTCTTACCTTTGACCCAGCACTCTACCAACACATTTCTTTGAGGTCATTATACTTTATTGATAACCCTTTCCATTTATCCTAGTGATGTACAAAAGTATACAGCTCAGAGAGAAGATTAAGTTATCATTTCCTGGTCAATGTGGACTTACATCCAGCAATACCAGGTCAGACCAAATCCAACTCATCACCGCTGAGTCTTCCCATAAACCGAGCCCATTCCTTTCCATCATCCTTAGCACAGAATTCATACTGGACTCTGCCTCCTTCTACTGGCCAATGAGGAAGAGGTTCTGCCTCGAAACGCGTCAGCCATTTGGAGGCCTACAGTCCCCCAACAGCCACCATCTAGGGAGATTGGACCATGCTGTCTTTTTTTGTGATGTGCCTTTCATTTTATTCTTTTGTGAGTATACTACTTTTTATTCAATATATCTAATTTCTAGATGGTAATGCACTAGGCTCGTGCGCCCTCTGTTTGTTTCTTTGCACACAGCTCCTTTGGATTTCCCTGGTCCGTTGAGGGCAGCAAGGCTTGCCTTCCCAAAAAGTACTCCCATGTGGGGTTACTGACATTGTGGAGCTCATCGTCCAGCGCAGGAGTTTCAGCATTCATTGGCTCATGCGTTTTTACCAATGAGAAGAAAACCTGCAAAGTCTCAGGAAATACTGTGTGTTCTCAGGAGTCCCTGCCCCCCACGGGCCATAGTCGTGTTTCACTCTGTAGAGTGCTTGGCATTTGCGTGTCTGCAGATCTGTACATTGGGGGTCAGTGGGAAGAATGTCCCTTACATTGGGGGTCAGTGGGAAGAATGTCCCTTACATTGAGGGTCAGTGGGAAGAATGTACCTTACATTGGAGGTCAGTGGGAAGAATGTCCCTTACATTGGGGGTCAGTGGGAAGAATGTCCCTTACATTGGGGGTCAGTGGGAAGAATGTCCCTTATATTGGTGATCAGTGGGAAGAATGCCCCTTACATTGGAGGTCAGTGGGAAGAATGTCCCTTATATTGGTGATCAGTGGGAAGAATGCCCCTTACATTGGGGGGTCAGTGGGAAGAATGGCCCTTACATTGGGGGGTCAGTGGGAAGAATGTCCCTTACAATGGTGGTCAGTGGGAAGAATGCTTCTTACATTGGTGGTCAGTGGGAAGAATGTCCCTTACATTGGTGGTCAGTGGGAAGAATGCTTCTTACATTGGAGGTCAGTTGGGAAGAATGTACCTTACATTGGTGATCAGTGGGAAGAATGTCCCTTACATTGGTGTGTCAGTGGGAAGAATGTCCCTTACATTTTGGTGATCAGTGGGAAGAATGTACCTTACATTGGTGATCAGTGGGAAGAATGCCCCTTACATTGGTGGTCAGTGGGAAGAATGTCCCTTACATTTGGGGTCGGTGGGAAGAATGTCCCTTACATTGGTGGTCAGTGGGAAGAATGTCCCTTACATTGGGGGTCAGTGGGAAGAATGTCCCTTACATTGGGGGGTCAGTGGGAAGAATGTCCCTTACATTGGTGTTGATCAGTGGGAAGAATGTCCCTTACATTGGTGATCAGTGGGAAGAATGTCCCTTACATTGGGGGTCAGTGGGAAGAATGTTCCTTACATTGGGGGTCAGTGGGAAGAATGTTCCTTACATTGGGGATCAGTGGGAAGAATGTCCCTTACATTGGGGGGTCAGTGGGAAGAATGCCCCTTACATTGGTGGTCAGTGGGAAGAATGTCCCTTACATTGGTGATCAGTGGGAAGAATGTCTCTTACATTGGGGATCAGTGGGAAGAATGTCCCTTACATTGGTGATCAGTGGGAAAAATGTCTCTTACATTGGAGTCAGTGGGAAAATGTCTCTTATAGTTGGCCACAAAGATAATCAGTGTCTTTGGTTACTTATCTAAGAGGCAGAGATTGCTATTTGCTTAGAGAACCACTAGCAACGTCTGGAGGAGCTCTGAGGTTTCTCCGAATCGAAGGTTAGAAAGACTGGTCCAAGGATTTGACCCGATACCTGGAAGTGAATGTCCTAAAGAGATCATTGCTTTATTCTGGGAAGCAAAATCATCTCACAGGTTCACTTTCAGCAGAACATAACATATCTTTCTACATGTTGACCCGTTATATTACCAACTGGTATGTTACATCTTTGACTCATTGCACACAAGGATGCTCTTTTATACTCTATATAAAGTGCAGAGAAGTGGAATACATAGGAATACATACCAATAAAGCCGCACAAATGGGTCCATGAATAATATAAAGCAAGTGAGTGTCGGAACTTATCCAGCAGCTAAACAGAAAAGGGAAGGTTAGATGGCATCTTGTATGCTAACAGTGAGATTCAATGACTTCAAACACATAAAAATGTATTTTTCACTTACTTGTCGTTATAATAAAAAATTCTTGCCACTGCGTGTATGCATGCTGGAATCAGAGGGAACCCTGGGAGAAAAGGAATGGATATGGTATAAAGAAGAACCTCTTTTTAGGTAAGTAAGCCAAGTCTAGTCAGTTCCCGAATAACCGACGTGTCCTGTTTACCGTTTTCAATGAAAGTAAATGTAAAATAAAATCCCAAATTTTGGGTTGTTCCCCAGAACTGAAATAGTGGAGATATTTTCCAATAGGGATACTAGTTCTGGTGACCCTGATGATGTCTGGGGATTCCCTCACTTTAGAAGGATTTTCCTTCCTGTTTTGGTAATGGGACAGAAAGTCCAATTGGACACAATTGGCAAAAAGAAACCTTACAAAAAAAGTTTGCCTTTCTTTCCACTTTATGTGTCTCTTCTCCAGGAGAATGAGTTTAATGTTTGCAGTTCCTCATAACTGAGGTTCTCCATCCCCCATAACTGAGTTCCTCCAGTCCACCTAACTGAGGTCCTCATCCCACCTAACTGAAGTCCAAAACTGAGGTCATCCATCCCACATAACATAAATTCTTCAACCCCCATAACTGAAGTCCTCCATCCCCTACAACTGAGCTACTCCAGCTCACAAAACTGAGGTCCAATACTGAGGTCCTCCCTCCCCCATAACTGAGGTCCTTCAAGTCCCCATAACTGAGGTCTTCCAGCCCACTCAACTGAGATCCTCCAGCCCCCATAACTGAGGTCCTCTATCCCCTATAACTAAGCTCCTCCAAATCATATAACTGAGGTCCTCCAGCCCACTCAAATGAGATCCTCCAGCCCCCAAAACTGAGGACCTTCAGCCCCCCCAAAACTAAGTTCGTCCATCCCCTATAACTGAGTTACACCAGCCCATGTAACAGAGGTCTTCCAGTCCCAACAACTGGAGTCAAATACTGAGGTCCTCCATCCCCCATAACTGAGGTCCTCCATCTCCCATAACTGAGGTCCTTCAGCCCACATAACGGAGGTCCAAAACTGAGGTCTTCCATTCTCCATAACTGAGGTCCTTCAGCCCACGTAACTGAGGTCCTTATATTATATCATCGTTCCCTGAAATGTCTATGTCCTGCAGTGACGTTATAGCCGTGAGGTTTCATACCCACCTCTATATCATTTATGAACAAGTTAGACAGAATTGGTCCCAGGACAGAGCCTTGGCGTAGCCCACTTACAACTCCAGACCATTAGAATTTACCATTAATTACCCCATTATTACACTTTAATAAAAACACTTTAAAAAACCCCCCAAAAAACTCAGCTCTCATTAAAAAATAGTGTAATGCTTCCTTTTGAGAGCTGTTGAATTGAGTACATGATAGTATCCTACTAAGAATGAGGCCAATTCCATGATCTGACACCTTCAGAAGATCTCTCCTCTCTGGGTCCTACAGCTCAGCTACCCATACATAAGAACCCCTTCCCGAACTGAGAGTAGAAACTGAGAGGACCAGGAGGCCAATGCCATCTTGGTCCTTGAGATAAAACAGGGGTCTCCAAGCTACGGCCTGTGGGCCAAATCCAACCCTCTGCAATATTTTATACGGCCAACAGCTAGGGTCAGTGGCCTCTCTCATAGGCCACACACAGGTCTTCAGATCAGCCAATGGTCTCCGTTTCTCCCCAACATCCAAAAGCTTCCCCTCACCCCAGTCATCAGCGCTGTCATTGTACTGTTGCTGGTTGCTACAAACCGCTGGCATCCCACCAACCAATCATGTGTTTAATCCATTCTCCCACTTGTAAGTGTGTGAGGAGCTCTCGTGAAAGGGGGAACTCTGATAGGCACCTTGATGTTATGAGGGACTCTAATGGGGACTTCCCCCCCTTTACATCAGGATTCCCATCAGAGTCTCCCTTACATCAGAGTCTTGATCAGAGTCCCCCTTACATTAGGGTCCCCATCAGAGCCCCTCACACATCAGGGTCCCCATCAGAGTCCCTCACACATCAGGGTCCCCATCAAAGTTTCCCCTTATATCAGAGTCTCCATCAGTTTCCCCCTTACATCAGGGTCTCCATCAGAGCCCCCCCCCCCCATTACATCAGGATTCCCATCAGCATCATGTTTTTACTTTTTTGAATCTCCCACTGGTTCTGCCCCCCTGTGTCCTGACGCTCGCAGGGAAGGGAACCTAGAAGACTGATGCCGGCATCGGCCGGAGGACACAGCGGAAGGACATCGGGGGATGGCAGGACAAGGTAAGGATCGGGGGATGGCAGGACAAGGTAAGGATCGGGGGATAACGAAAAAGAAGGATCTGCGCAAGACTCAGACAGGTGGCACAAGATGGAACCAGGCCTGGATCGGGGAACGAGGACCACTGCATAAAGGGATGTGCAGCTCCAAACCAAGGCTGGGGGAAGCCAATCAGCACTGTAAAATGGGGGATAAAAAACAAGAAGCGCACCAAGCCTTGCGCATCGGGGACCTCAGCGACCAAAATAAGGATCTTGTAAAAAAAGGATATCACAAACAGCGAATAAGGAATCAGGCATGTAAGTCCTCTCAGGGACTTGAAGATAACATGAGGATCCCATCAGGGGAATAGGTGTTCAGGACAGGTGAAGCGTTTCGAAGGGAGTCCCAGGACAGAGCTCTGAGGATCGAAGGGACTCCCTTCGAAACGCGTCAGCTGTACTGAACACCTATTCCCCTGATGGGACTCAGGTTATCTTCAAGTCCCTGAGAGGACTTACATGCCTGATTTAATTCGCTGTTTCGTGAGTATGTTTTTTACAAGTAATAAATTTTGGTCGCTGAGGTAATGCGCAAGGCTGGTGCGCTTCTTGTTTTTTATTTCATTTTACAGTAAGGATCGGGGGATGGCAGGACAAGGTAAGGATCGGGGGATGGCAGGACAAGGTAAGGATCGGGGGATGGCAGGACAAGGTAAGGATCGGGGGGATGGCAGGACAGGACAAGGTAAGGATCGGGGGATGGCAGGACAAGGTAAGGATCGGGGGATGGCAGGACAAGGTAAGGATCGGGGGATGGCAGGACAAGGTAAGGATCGGGGGGATCGCAGGACAAGGTAAGGATCGGGGGATGCAGGACAAGGTAAGGATCGGGGGATGGCAGGACAAGGTAAGGATCGGGGGGGATGCAGGACAAGGTAAGGATCGGGGAGATCGCAGGACAAGGTAAGGATTGGGGGATCGCAGGGACAAGGTAAGGATCGGGGGATGCAGGACAAGGTAAGGATCGGGGGATCGCAGGACAAGGTAAGGATCGGGGGATCGCAGGACAAGGTAAGGATCGGGGGATCGCAGGACAAGGTAAGGATCGGGGGATGGCAGGACAAGGTAAGGATCGGGGGATAAGGATAAGGATCGGGGGATGGCAGGACAAGGTAAGGATCGGGGGATGGCAGGACAAGGTAAGGATCGGGGGATTGCAGGACAAGGTAAGGATCGGGGGATTGCAGGACAAGGTAAGGATCGCAGGACAAGGTAAGGATTGGGGGATCGCAGGACAAGGTAAGGATCGGGGGGATCGCAGGACAAGGTAAGGATCGGGGGATCGCAGGACAAGGTAAGGATCGGGGGATCGTAGGGCTTTTGGTACTGTAAATGAACCCCGAGCCACACTCAGAATTACCACCAGGGAGGTTAAGCACAAGCAACAGCTACATTTTCTTTATCATCAAATATACTGGAAAAGTCCAACCCCCCCCTCCCCCCCCCCCCCCCCCCCCCCCACGATAGTTGGACCAAAAGGAATAAAACATCATTTTCCACCAACTCGCCTTCTGATTTACGAGGACGAAGCGTGACCGCTCATTGGTTTTGTCAACATGTCTAACGTTTCCAAAACAGACGGCTATCTTCTGTAAGAAACAAAGAGCGGCGGCATCACGCGCGTCAGTCCTCCGAGATCTCCTTTATTAAATCTTCTGAATGACACATCAAAACAAGCGCTGCGCACGCAATTCCACCCAAAGGGGCCGTAGTCACAGCCGTGCCTTCCAGACAGAAATGCGTCAGCGCTGCTCGCCGTCACGCGTCACTCATAAGCTGTCAATGTGAAGTCGGCTCGGAGAACGGATCTGATATCCGAAACACTTGAAGGGAATGCAAATACCTTTCTAATGGCTGGAATCCAGCGGTCACATCAGGGGCGGACTGACCATTTGGAAACTCGGGCACTGCCCGAGGGCCCGGGGTCAGTAAGGGGCCCCATGAGATGCCCCTGGTACCTTTTTTCATAAGCTTTTTTGAGTTTGGGCAAGGACACAGGGGCCCCATGATCCCCTATTGCCCGGGGGGCCCCATGAGTTGTCAGTCCACCCCTGGGTCACATGACCGCAGGGGGGGCTCAGTTGCAATGCCTGTTCTGCATGGTAGGGGGCGCCTTTACATAGGAGGCATCTGATCAGCAATGGGTTTTTTTGTTTGTTTTAAACTGTTTAGTAGCACCTAGGGCAGTGATGGCGAACCCGTGGCACGCCGAGCCTTATCTGTGGGCACGCCAAGAGAATCCAGCGGCGCGCTGTCTTCCCGGCTGTAGTGTGCGTGACAGCCGGGTCCCAAGTGCGCATGCACAAGAAGCAGTGCTCTTTGTGAATGGTAAGGCGGTACCTGGGACACATGACAGATCCCAGAAGCCGCCAGACCAATCACAAAGCGCAGCGCTTCTCGCGCATGCGCACTGGGCATCCGGCTGTCCGACGAGCGCCCACACTACAGAAGCCGGGAAGACAGCGCGCGGCTGGATAGAGGAACAGGTAAGATAAAAAAAAAACTCTGCGGAAGTAAGAGCGGGTACCTGTCCAAATTCAGGTACCCGCTCCCCCCTCCCTCCCCAAAGGTCAGCAGTCATCTGTACTGTCCGCAGTCTCTGGTCCTCCCTGTGATGTCCGCAGTCTCTGGTCATCTCCTGTACTGTCCGCAGTCTGGTCATCTCCTGTGCTGTCTGCAGTCTCTGGTCATCTCCTGTACTGTGTCTGCAGTCTCTGGTCATCTCCTGTACTGTGTCCGCAGTCTCTGGTCATCTCCTGTACTATGTGTCCGCAGTCTCTGATCATCTCC